AGCACAAGACCCAATGCAACCAAAAATAAATAATAAATAAATAAATATTTTTTTAAAAAAGGAGCCAGGGCTTCTAGCGGAGCCATTTAGATTCCCATCTAGGATTCCCTGGGCCACACTACCAGAGTGACCTTTGGTAGTCAATGTCCTTAACTCCTTTGGGTTTCAGTTTCCTCCTTGGGAAGTGACAGAATGAGCTTTGCAGGTTCAGCACTTAGCCTTGTGCCTGGCACAGAGGAAGCAAGAACAGATATTAGGCAATCGTCCCCACTGTTATCTTCGGCAGCTCTGGGTTGGGGCAGGGTGGGTGGTGGCTCTGGGTGACCGGCCTACCAGGCCTGCTCACTTCCTACCTGCCTCTGCAGTAAGCTCTCCTGAGAAGCAGCAGAGTGGTGCAAGGGGGACAGATGGGCCCCCTGGAATCCCAGCTGCCCTGATGTGGGTGGGCCACTTCTATGTGCCTCAGTCTCCTCTTCTGCCCTCAGTGAGAAATAGTCGTGCTTACCTCATATACTTGATACGCCTAGCACCTAGAAATCTTTGAAGAATTGTTAGCTAATATTATTACTGTACCCTTTAATCAATTGACAGACATTTTTTTAACATCTTTATTGGAGTATAATTGCTTTACGGTGGTGTGTTAGTTTCTGCTTTATAACAAAGTGAATCAGCTATACGTATACATACATCCCCATATCTCCTCCCTCCTGCATCTCCCTCCCTCCCACCCTCCCTATCCCACCCCTCTAGGTGGTCACAAAGCACAGAGCTGACCTCCCTGTGCTATGCGGCTGCTTCCCACTAGCTATCTATTTTACGTTTGGTAGTGTATATATGTCCATGCCTCTCTCTCACTTCGTCCCAGCTTACCCTTCCTCCTCCCCGTGTCCTCAAGTCCATTTTCTACTTCTGCATCTTTGTTGCTGTCCTGCCCCTAAGTTCATCAAAACTGTTTTCTATTTATTTATTTATAGATTCCATATATATGTGTTAGCATACAGTATTTGTTTTTCCCTTTCTGACTTACTTCACTCTGTATGACAGACTCTAGGTCCATCCACCTCACTACAAATAACTCAATTTCATTTCCTTTTATGGCTGAGTAATATTCCGTTGTATATATGTGCCACATCTTCTTTATCCATTCATCTGTTGATGGACATCTGTAGCTTCCCTGTCTTGGCTATTGTAAATAGAGCTGCAATGAACATTTTGGTACATGACTCTTTTTGAATTATGGTTTTCTCAGGGTATATGCCCAGTAGTGGGATTGCTGACAGACATTTCTGTGCCTCCTCTTTGAACTGGGCATGAGATGTTACCTTGCTCTTGGGCTCGGGAATCAGACTGCCTGGGTTTGAAACCAAGCTCTGGCATTAATGAGCTGTGTGACCTTGGGCAAGCTACTCCTCCTCTTTGGGCCTAAGATTCATTCTTCATCTATTTCCTCAGCAGAACTCAGAGGTGTAAAATAGGATTAGATGGGTTTATTGTATTTTTGGGGTCTTCGTTGCTGCCTGTGGGCTTGCTCTAGTTGCGATGAGCGGGGGCTACTCTTTGTTGCGGTGCGCTCTCATTACGGTGGCTTTTCTCGTTGCAGAGCAGGGGCTGTAGGCGCGTGGACTTCCGTAGTTGTGGCCCAGAGGCTTACTTGCTCAGCGGCGTGTGGGATCTTCCTGGACCAGGGATCCAACCCATTTCCCCTGCATTGACAGGCAGATTCTTAACCACTGGGTCACCAGGGAAGTCCCGGGTTTATTGTAAAGAGCTAGGACAGTGCTCGTACCGCAGGAAGCTCCATGAGTTATAAATGAAATCTAAGCCACTGGCCCCTTTTTCCAGGAGCCCAGTCTAGCAGGGAGGTCAGCAAGACCCGGAGCTGCCGGGCTGTTGGCTCCCGCAGTGGAGCGCCCGCGGCCTGAGCCGGGAATACCTCCCAGAGGAAGCGAGGGGCAGGCCCACGTAGGGCGTGCCTGCCAAGGAGCGGCCAGGGTTCCCGGCCGCTGTCAAGTCGTAAAGTTCCAGGGAACCCTGCGTGCTCTGAGCGTTCGTTTAAATACAGGTATTGAAATACGCCACATGACATCGATTTAATGGGGAATCTATACAAAATAAAACGGGAGCTATTCTGATTTGGCCAAACCTGTGTCTGTTCGCTGGGAATAACACTAGGAAGCGAGAGGACTTCTGGGCAAGAGCTCGGCGGTAAGGGGAGAGGCGTGGTGGCCCAGCCTCTGTGCTGGGAACCCTCAGCCTGGGCTCTCGCCCGCCGGCTGGTGCAGGGCGGCGCTGGGCTTGAGGGAACCACTCCGCCTCAGCCTGCGGAGCCAGCGTCTTTCTTTTTAATGTCACGGTTTATCATCTCATTAATTTTTAACCGCGGCGGGTGGCTGATTTTTTTAAAAAAATTATTAAGTATAACTATTTCCCGAGGTGCGCCCCTGGCACTCCGGGCATGCAGAGTCCGCCTGTACCGCACTTATCTCCGCGGGCTTTGCCACCTCGGAGGTCCCCAGCATTTCTCACTTCTCTGTCCTGGTTGAATATTCTCACTCTGCACGCTTCGTTTATAGAATACTTGGAAAACAAAACAAATACTGCCGATTTGATTTGCGAAGGGGTCGCTATGGGAAGGCGGGCGTCATTAGTTTAAGATAGTAATGACCCTTAGACCCTCATGCCCCTGGCTCCCAGACCCAACACCCTCGGCTGGCGAGAGCCGTGTGCCGCTTCCCAGGGCTCTGCGCACTACAGTTTACTCCATAATGAGCCTGGATACCGAGCCTGAGATCCTCACCCCACTGGTGAGAACGTAGGCTCGCTCGGGGCAGGGAGCAGCGTCCCGCTGCATCTTGAAGAGCGACGTGAACGGGCTCTCGGTTCTTAAACACGCCCACGCCCACCCCCGCCCTTCAGTATCTGCCCGGTGGGTTTCCCAGTTCCGCGCTTAGGGAATGTATGACCTTGACCATTACCTTAACCTTTGGTCCTCAGCTTCCTGGCTTGCAAATTAAGATGGATTAGATTAGAGAACCCCGGTAAGCATTTAGCCCGGAGTCCTGGCTTTCAGTGAGCCCAAAGCCAGCCAGCCATTATTATCCGTTTGTGAGAGACCTTGGGGTCACTCAGCTGGTCCCTGAAGGATGATAAAGAGGGAGACAGAGGCATCATAGAAAAACCGTAGCAGTATAACGTTGTGCAAAAAAAAATTTTCTCTCTAATGTTACCGTAGACGAGTGTAAGATGAGAAAGGCCCACGGACATGCAGGACCCCGGAGTGGGGGGCGGACACTAATTAAGGGTGAGAATGTGGATGAGCTCCAGGTCGAAGGATTCCCTGGTTGTGTGAGTTAGGCCGCCTGCTGGGACTGCCTGGTAGGAAAGGGCTGTCTGAATTAAGAGCTGGTCTGGTGGTCTGGTACAGCCTCCGGGTGCCCTTCCATGAGATGGGACCGCGGTGTGCATCTCGGAGTAGGGTCGTGGGCTCAGGAGGCTGTGTGCAAGTGCTGAGCTGAACACTTCCCCACCCCGCAGTCCTCGGCTTGGACTTTACAGCAGAGACATTCAAGTCCGAGGGCCCCGAGCCAAGCTCTGAGGCAGCCTTTCCCACTTCCCTACAGAGTACAGCCCATAACCCTGCAATGGTCGATTGCATACACCCCAGCATCCCTGAATCGCAAGCTGCGTCCAGCTCAGCTCTTAGTGCCTAGAATCTCCTGGCATCTTCCCCTATCCCCAAAGGCAGTGGGGTGAGCCTGAGGAATAGAGGACGGTACAGGCACTGGCAGAGCTGCCTGGTCCCTGGCTCGGTCCCTCCCTTCGACAGAAGGATGGCCCCAGGCCCGGCTTGAGGACTCTTCCCCAGCCTAAGAGGTGCACTGAATTAGGATATGCCGGGAGCAATGTTTTGTCTTCCACCAAGAGCTCTGGGACCAGGCAGCCAGGCCTGTACTTTCCAGGCAAAATTCAGAAAAACCCACATTCCACAGGAACACAAAGTCCCTGACTCCCTCCCTTTTTCCTCCCTTTTAAAGAATTGAATTAGCTCCTCTTGACTTTGGAGGCTGGCGGTAGATGAGCCAGAGGTAGAGGAGCTTGGAAGTCAGGTCCGAGCCCCTGAGGACTGGCGGGACCTGAGTATTTTTGTTATTTTTATTTTACTGATGAAAAAACAGGGGAAGGCAGCAAGGAACTCCCACAGTGAGCAGGTTTTTAGCTGGATTTCCCTGAGCCTCAGTTTTCTCATCTGTAAAATCTATACAACAACCTTCGTTGGTGAGGACTAGTGCAAAATTCGTTAAATGCTGAGAGGCGGCCAAATGGGGGAGAAGGGTTCCCTGACTACGTGAATTCATGGGGGCCTAACCACAGAAGGAGGTGAGCACGGTCTGCCAGACGCCTCTGTGTGGTCCAGGCTCTGCATTCTGCCCAGCCAAGAAACCGGTGAGGCCGGGCCACGGCTTTGGGCTGGGGAGTTCTGAGGAGCTGGACAAAGGTTTTGGTTCTGGGCTTTTCCATCTATAAAATGGGCTGCAGCATTCTTCTAAGCAGGATGAGTTCCGGTGCCTTCCGATCGCATAGGGCCTAGGTGCCTTTGCCCTCCATTTAATGCCCAGTACCTGGAACAGTGCCTGGTACCTAGTAGGGTTAAGGAGGTGAGGTTGAGACCTCTGGGCCAGTGTCCTCAGTCTCTGAAGTGAGACCCAGAAGCAAACCTCATTTCTACCAGTACTGGCTGTTTGCTCACAGGCAAGTCATTAAACCTCTCCAGGCCTCAGTCTGCTAAACTTTAAAATAGGACCTCCCTTTGTCGGATTGTTGAAGGTTACATGAGCAATCCTAGAAAGCACCTAACATGGGACCCAGCACAGTGAGTCTTTATTTATCATTATTATCAATTTGCTCAGTGAATACCCATCCCTACAACTCAAGGCCGGCTGCCTCTGCCCTCCAAAATTCAGTTTCTGAAGCGCCGAAGCTGAATGAAACACACGGGAGGATCAGCGCACTCTCTTTAATGGGAAGGAGATTCTCATTTCTTACAGAAACAGGTAAAAACATAAATACCGGGGGTGGGGGCAGCGGCAAGGCAGCAAGGGCCCGGGCGCCCGGCCCAGGTTCGAGGAAAGGCGGCCGGATGCTAGGCCTGCCGCGCCCGGGCTCCCAGTCCCAACTGGCCGGTGTTCGGCAGACTGGGGATGCCCGTGGGCTCTCGGAGGGCACTCCCGGGGCGACGGCTAAGGCACCAGGCTGCGGGATCACTCACCGCAAGCTCCGTAAACCCGACCACAAACTCTCCCTCGCGTGGGGACAAAGGCGCACGGGGCAGGTAAAGCTCCGAGGCCTCCGCGGGAGTGAATGTGACATCCGAGGGACGCAGGATCGTGTCGGGAACCCTCCCTCTCCTCGAGAGTCGGTGCCCTTCTTTAGAGGTGGGATCGGTCGGGGGCGTCCCACACCGGTCCCTTTCCTACCAGGCTCGGATACCGTGCAGCGTGGACACTCCTGAGTTGCCCTGCGGAATCCCGGGGCTCTGCACGGCGTTCAAGTCCCCGACGCCGAAGTTCACGAAGTTGTTGTTGGCGGCCGCCGTAGCCGACTGCGCCGGTGGCGGCCCGGCGGGGTAAGCAGCGGTGCAGCTGTAGCCAGGGCTGCAGGCCGCGCCACCGTAACCCGGGTAGGCGGGGTAGGCGTTATAGCCGTAGGCGTTGAGGCCCACGCCATAGGCTGGCGCGTAGGGCGCCGAGTCCCCGAGGCAAGGCTTGCCATCGCGCACCAACACTGGCACCGCGATCCTGCGCGCTGGCGGCGGCGGTGGCGGGGGCAGCCCCACCAGCTCCAGAGTCTGGTCCTGCCGTTGCCGCTTGCACTTGTAGCGCCGGTTCTGGAACCAGATCTTGACCTGCGTAGACGTCAGCTTCAGCACGCTGGCCAGCTGGTCGCGCTCCGGGGCCGACAGGTACCTCTGCTGCTTGAAGCGCCGCTCCAGCTCGTAGACCTGCGCCTGCGAGAAGAGCACGCGCGGCTTCCTCCGCCGTCGCGCCCGGGGTCGCTCGGCGCTGTCCGCCTCAGGTTTCTCCAGCTCCACCGCCTTCTGCAGCGCGCACAGCTCTGAGGGGGGACAGAGTGGCAGAGAGACGCTGGGTCACAGCGACCCGACCCCCCCGAGCTCCCGCCGGGTGACGAGCCCCAGTGGGTGCCACCCCGTCCTGCCTGGAGCCCCCAGCTTGACTACGGGTCACTCTGCCGGCTGCACTGGGCGCTGCGACTGCTCGGTTTCCGCTCGACAGCCAACATTTGTTGACTGCCTACTATGTGCCGGGCACGGCTCTAGGCACAGGAGGACAAAACAAGACAGGTCCTTGCCCTCGGGTTGGTTCACATTCTGGTGAAAGAGATGGACAGTGACTTAACGACTTCAGGTTGCAAAGAAAATAAAGCCAAGTGATGCGCTGGGGTGAATTAGATTAGGACTACTTTGGTTTGAGAGGTTAACTGAAGGAGACCTAGGCCTCACACCAGGGTCGGTCGCACTATCTCAAAATTACGGGCACCGAAGAAACAGAAGGCCAAGAGGTGTTGGTTTGGTGATCTATCAAAGGCTCCCGTGCAACTGCTGCGGAGATTTTGCAGCGCCCAAAAAGCAGCGGGTGGGCAGGCGGCCCTGGATTCCAATTGAATTTGAATCGGTAGTGACCAATTCAAGCTGCCGTGCCCTCCGGCAGCTGTTCCTGAGGCCTCCCCTCTGCAACTAGACAAACTTTTGTAGGATCACAGAAAGCCCCTCTGGGCTCTCGGCGGCCCTTCAGCCAGTGCCCCCGGCCTCCCCAGGTTCTTGCGGACCCCGCGTTGGGCCACCGTCTCCCCGACGCGCCCTTTCCACCGGCGGGCAAGCCTCCCCCTGGACCTCGGGATGCGCGCGGCGATCCGGCCGACTTCCCCAGTCGTCTCCTCCATTGCCCCACGCCTTTCGTCGCGCGGCATTTTCTAACTTTTTCCAGGAGAGAACCTCTCGGCCCTGGCCGCGTGGGAAAATTGTTATGGAAAAATAAAGCTGCTAAGTCAGATTCTTGAGAGTCCGGAGTATCCCATTTTAAATTCAAGATCCTTGTTCTCAAACATTCCACTCTCAGGGCACAAAGGAGGAAAGGCCCCAGCCACCCCGGGTAACGGGTGGGCTATAGAAGGTCCTGGACCTGCTCCAATTGTGCGCAAAAGTATGTCTGGCGTGCAGCATTTTGATTTCTGTTTAGCGGTTTTCGTCAGATCCTCAAAAAGACCCTCAAGAGATTAAAAAAAAAAAAAACCGATATACAGACTCTCTCTCTCTCCCTCTGTTCTGTCTACCACAAACGGATCGCTCAACTTCAACTTCATAACAAATCCAGGAGCAGGGCTGCCGCCGCCTGGGGCTTTGTTAGGCCGCAAGAAAGTATATATATATTTCTCTCCGGTCTCTTGTTTCTGATCGTCACGATCCAGCATTTCCTCTAAACCTCCGACTGGAAGCGTGGGGCGGGGGTGGGGGGAGACCCTGGCGACAACCTCGCTTCTCACATTCGGAGCCCCCTTTGCTCGACCATCCGCCCAGGAACTCGCCTCTCCTCTACCCAAGCCAGAGTTTCTTGGCCGCGAGGTTTGGGGACGAAAGCAACCCCAGAGGGGAGAAGGAGCCTGTGTTTCTTCCTCACCTTTCTTATCGGCTCGAGGGTCCTTGGCAGGGTCGGGGTCGCCATAGGCACGCGGATAGAAGGCGGGGGCGGCTGAGAAGGCAGGCAAGCACTTGGCGGGCGAGGGCGCGGGGCCCAGCTCGGCGCGCAGCTCGGGGAGGCCGGGCGCTGCGGCCTCCGGCCCCGCGTAGGCCTCGGGCTTGAAGGCGGCCAGCATGCAGGAGGCGGGCGCCAGGGTGGCCTCCAGGCGCGCGGAGAGCTCCCCGGCGGCCAGGCTGCGCTGCTGCTGCTCCAGATTCAGGATGTCTTTGACCGAGAACGGCGTGGGCGTGAGCGCGGGGCTGGGGAACATGGTGGCAGCGCGCGTCTCACAGCGCCAGGTGGGCGGCAGAGAGCAGCGCTGCCCACGGCCCCCGGCAGCCTCCCTGCATGGTGCCCGCCGCGCGCCCGCGCACCCGCCTTCCAGCTCGGGATGTGGCCGGGCGGCAGGTAGTGCGGGGCGCAAGGGGCAGGAGAGGCGGGACCAGGCCGGAGGAGGGGGGCTCAGCCTGCCATTGGGCCGGGGGCCTCGTTGACAGGAGCGATGAGCACTTTCGGGTCACCTAATATAGTCATACGGCTCAAAAAAAAAAAAAAAAAATCCCGCTCTGCTTTTTAAAGGGCCCGCAACGCGTTCGGAAGACTCCTTTCGCTCCTGCAGCCTGAGATTTGTCCAAAACATTAGCCTGAAAATCCTACCAGGATGGATGCACAGGAAAGGACCCGATTATTCTCCGAATCCGCCCTTTAGGCCGGGTTGGGTGGATCTGGGATTTGAAGAAATGTTCCTCAGCACCTGAAACAGAATAGGGAAGTGAAGGATTGGGTGAGGGCTGGGGGGACTGAGTTATTTCCAGGAGTTGGAAAGGCTTTCTTTATTACTAACGGTATGGTGTGTCCGACTTGGAAGAATCTGAATAAGAAGAGAAGCATTGGGGAAAGGGTTTGCTCTGGGGCGATGGCAGGAGGGGGCCATTCTGGACAATTTGGGGATTCTGTGTAGTACTCCCTTTGCCAGGAGGCCAGGCTCTGGGGGCTCCTGTGTGAGTCAAGCTGAAAAGCAAGGTGGGTGGTTGTAGGACGGAGGGGCACCGCCTACAGTAGTGTAAGTGTACAAACACAACTCCAGGGGGCACCAGTCACTGCCCGTCTCTTCCCTGAGAGATGACCCTCCCCTTAATAATGAAACAAATCCAGAATCCCGGCAGAGAAACTCAGCTTCCCAGAAGAGAGCTGTCTTCTAGGGCATCCTAGCTCCCAGTGGCCTTTTCTCCTATTCATGAGGGCCCGTCATTCCGACCTCCCTCTTTCCCCTGCCCTCCCTGCCTAGCAGCGAGTCCCCTAGGCCTTTGTCAGCCCAAGGGACTCAGGTCCCAGCTCAGGTTTAGGTTTCAGGCAGGTGGGGCTCCTCTGAACTCAACGTGGCCAAGATTTCTCTGGGCCGGCTCCGAGTGGGGCGCCGCGGCGGCGGCCGGGCCAGGCGCATGGGGTGTGGGGGCCGGGGTGTTAATTTTTAGCCCAGGGTCAGTAAAGTAGGGATCTTCTGTCAGAGAAACAAGTAAGTGTTTCCCGGGAGCAAGCTACCCGGTCAGATCCTGCGCTAGCCCACCTCATCCTTCTGGGTCCCTTGGGAGATCTGATGAAAGCTTGGGGGGCCTTCCCCTCACCCCCAGAAAACTGCAGAGAGGCGCTCTATTTTGTGTACAATTTCAGGGAGGATTTGGGCAGACAGAATGGCCCCAGGTTATGGTCTCCGCCTTATCCTATCTCTAGCGATGGCGAGGCTTGTCAGGGGAAAAACGTCGACTTCCCACCACCCTAGCTTCTGCGGGGAAGTCCGGGCGGAGCGCGCCGACTTTCTGAGAATGGAGACTTGCAGGGCTCGGCTCCTTGCGGAGGGCGAGTTGGGGACCAGGGAAGAAGCGTTTGAACCAGAAGAAAGGCACACAGGGCCAAAGGCAACCTAAGGACAGGGCTCAGGGCCTTAGATTCCAGAATGCGCCCTCAAGGCGCCCAGGAAATGCATGAAGCAGGTCCAGAACGTGAATCTTAGGGTGCTCAAGCCTGACGGTGAACCGTCGGTTAGGGCCACCGGGAAGGGCGCCAGTGAAGTCAAGCGTAGGCCTAATGTTGGAACTTTGCCAACGCCTCATCAAATCCACACTCCCGGGACCTGTGGCCTCCGGGCTAGGGCGAAGGAGAGCGGAGCCCCGCGCGGCGGTCGCGGAGGCTCGGAGCACTCCGACCCGGCTTCCAGGCGCCAGCCGTCGCTACCAGGCCCCCACCACCGCGGCGGAATCTCGCTTTAAGTCTTCGAGCCGGGGATCACGGCCGGTTCTGGGACTGTTAGCTTGGTCTGCGTAGAGATTCCTTTTTTCAAATGTGGGGAGTTCGCAAGCCCCAGGAACCCTCCGCACCCGCCCACTTCCCAACCTCCCAACCCGAGTTCTCCCTCGACGGATCTGCAGATTAGTGGCCTCTCTTCGGCTCTACCTCGCCACGGCTTTTGGCCAATGTTACAGTAATTGCCTTCAACTAACCTAGCTTGGGGGCCCGCCTCGCCTTTCAAGAATGTTTTTGGGGAATGGGAGAGGATGCCTATCGCCGAGGCGGTGACGTCTGGCAAACGAGCCACATCCGATTCAATTAAACGTCTCGCTGAAAAGAGCTCGGAGCGAGGGTCCTGGGAGCGCTGTTAAGTGAATGGGCTGGCCGGCCGGCTCGCGATGACAGTTTGAAAGATTAGTGTGAGCCGACGCCTGAAATATTACCGTTTAATGGGGGACATTGAGGCTGCATCCGGGATCTCTGTTTTTAGTGTGTGTGTGTGTGTGTGTGTGTGTGTGTGTTGTAAGAGAGTTCTGGAGGAAGAGAAAAATTCAGCATTTCCTCTGCAAATCAAGGCGGTGAAGATTTATCACTTATTTTTGGGTATGGGGGTTCCTAGGGCTGACAGATTTGTGGGTCAGGTGTCATGAAAAGGGGAGGAAAGAAAACCCTCCATATTTGCACAAAATCAATAAGTTTTCAACCGCCCACACCCTCTGTGAATCCGGTAATAATTTCTCTTGGATCTAAAACAGGCCTTAGCGTTGCCAAAAAGAGGAAAACGGGGCAAAACCGGATAAATACGAGTAAAATCAAAATTGGGGTGACCCACGCTGGTCTCTGCAGAGGAATGTCCAAGAGCAATTTCTAATTTTCTTTGAAGTCCTCACAATTTCTGAGTCAGTAAAAACATTTTTGTTTTCTTTAAGTGAAGTTGCCATGGTTGGGGGGAGGGAGGGAGGAAACTTGATTCTCCAGCCCCACCAGGGATGCATCTTCCTTCCCAAGGGCGACTGACCTAACCTGGCCGCCTCTCTAAGCCACACTTTGGCCAAACTAGCAGGACAAACAAACAACCTTCAGTCCAGAGAAAGGCAGAGAGAGGGAGAAAGACAAAAGGAGCAGAGAGGAGAGATCGAAAATCTATTTCCTTGCCTTTTAAAGAGTCGGTGCTTTAAGATGGGCCAGATTCCAGGATGACTTGAGAGCATTCTACGCACATAAAATATTATTAATTGAAAGCGATCGGAGCGGCCCGAGCCGGCCCCCACTTTCCTGCAATCAGCAGGGTCGGCCGCAAAAGGTATATATGATTAATTGAAAGATAAGCTGGAACTATCACCGGGAATGTCATTAATGCGCCGGGGAGACGTCCATTGGAGACAGGCGGCGTTATCCTCGGCTTTATCTTCAACAACGCCTCGCTCTCGGCCCGCGCCGGGGAAACAGATGGGGGTTTCTGTCTGGGACGCTCGCCCCGTGTTTATATTTTGGGAAGAATCGCAACTCGTGGGAGTCCCCGGCAGGCCCCCTGATAAATGAACATTAGCACTTTTTCGGACTACTGTATCAACAAAGGGGCTACGGCGCGGCAATAATTGGCGAGAAAGCAAACAGAGGGCCGAGAGCGCGCCTCTGCTCTTCGTCCGGCTGATGGATGAGCAGCGGCGGCTGCGGCCCGGCTCCCGGCCCTCGCTCCGGCTCCCCGGCCCGGCCGCGGGGCCCCTCAGGCGTCCTGCCTTGCTTCAGGGCCGGGGCTTGAGAGTGGGGGGCGACTCTGGGGGCTGCCGCCCTCGCCCTGGGCTCCGGAAGAGCCCGGGCGGCCTCCGGGGCACCGGATTTTTCCTGCCCGGGACTCGCCTTATTCGGGTTGGCTCAGCAGGTACCAATTTCTTGCTCTCCCACGGCATGAGTCACACGCCCTCGAACGTCTTCGCGCACCCGCTTATCTCGATGGCTCCACAGAAGAGAAAGAGGCTCAGGAAGGTGAAGTGACTTGCTCAAGGTCACACAGACGGAAAGTGACAGTTTCAGGATTCGAACACAGGACTGACTGCAGAGCTGTGAATGTTTTCTTTTCTTTCATGTCGCTGACTCCTAGAGTCATACCAGCTGGTGAGGAAACAAGATGCTACCCCTTCCCCCAACACACACTCCACGCAGCTAGAGAAGAGGACCAGGTTGTTGGACTGGGGATGCTGGGTTCACCAAAACCTTCATCGACACGGGGGCTTCTGGCATATAGTTCGTCTGAGTGAGAGAGAGAAAGAGAGGGAGAAATGTAAGATTCCACCTCCCCCTCTTCCTCCACCTCCTCCAGAATCTCTTCCATTCCATCCTCTTCCTCCTCCGTCCCCTCCTTCATCTCCTCCTACCAGCCCCCCCTTCTTCTTTGGTAACAACTTTATTATTCATCCATTTAAAGTATACAATTCCATGACTTTTAGTATATTCACAGAGTCGCAATCATGACAAGATTAATTCTAGGACATTTTCGTCGGCTCCAAAGGAAACCTGTAGGCTTCAGCCATCAACCCCACACCCTCCCCCATCTCCCACCTCCGCAGCTCGAGGTAACCACTAATTAATCTACTTTCTGTCTCTGTAGATTTACCTATTTTGGACATTTCATACAAATGGAATCATATAATATGTGGCCTTTTGTAACTGGCTTTTTTTCACGTAGCATAATATTTTCAAGTTTCATCCATGTTGTAGCAAGTATCAGTACTTTGTTCCTTTTTATGGCAGAATGATACCCTATTGTATGGGTATACCATATTTTGTTTCTACATTCAACAGTCGATGGACATTTGGGTTGTTTCCACCTTTTGGCTGTTGTGAATAACCCCCCAGTCCACTTCTACCCTAAAAGCTGAGCCTTTAGAGGTCTGGGGAGGATGCTTCTCCCGCCTCCCCCTATAATTAACCCTATCATTCCCTGAAGGCTGGCTTCATGGGTATGCCAACTGCGTAGCTTCACGGGGCCTGAGCTTAGAAGGGCCCTGTGTTCTGTTGTTGCTGTCTGGAAATTCTTCATAAGTTTTGAACAAGAAGCTCCACATTTCATTCATTTTGCACTGGGCTCCACAAATTATAAAGCTGGTCCTGCTTTCTGGGCACTTTGAGCAGAGCCCTGGAAATACTATCTTCATGTCCCCAAGGCTCCTGTAATCTGCCAGGCTTGTGGCTTCCTTTGCCCCAGGGTCTAGCCTCCTCTAGCCAGCTGGCACA